CAGGTCCCTTCTGACCCTAGAAACTATGAAACTATGGGGCAATATTTTCCTGACCCCTGGCCTAATCTGTCTTTATTACAGCTTCATGCTTTTACCAATATCTACCAGTAGCAAATCTGAATTGATTTCTTAACACATAAACACAGCTAAGATCGCAGAATCATAGAAAATTACAGTTGAAGGGGACCTCAGGAGGTCACATCTAGTCCAACCCCCTGCTCAAAGCAGGACCAGCCCCAACTACATCATCCCAGCCAAGGCTTTGTCGAGCCAGGCCTTAAAAACCACCAATGATGGAGCTTCCACCATCTCTCTGGGTGACCTGTTCCAGTGCTTCACCACCCTCCTAGTGAGAATGTTTTTCCTAATGTCCAACTTAAACCTCCCTTGCTGCAACTTGAGGCCATTGTGCCTTGTTCTGGCATCTGTCACCATTGAGAACAGTCCAGCTCCATCCTCTTTTGACCCCCCTTCAGGTAGTTAAAGGTTGCTATCAAATCCTCTCTCAGTCTTCTCTTCACAAAACTAAATAAGCCCAATTCCCTCCGCCTCTCCTCATAAGTCATGCGCCTCAGCCCCCACACCATTTTTGTTGCTCTTGGCTGGACTCTTTTCAAATTGTGCACATACTTTCTATAATGGGAGGCCCAAAACTGGGCACAATACTCCAGGTGTGGCCTCACCAGTACTGAATAGAGGGAAATAATTACTTCCCTCAGTGTGCTACAAACGCTCCTACTAATGCAGCCTAGTCTGCTGTTAGCCTTCTTGGCAACAAGGGCACACTGCTGGCTCATATTCAGCCTATTGTCTACTTGACCCCCAGGTCCTTTTCTGCAGAGCTGCTGCCCAGCCAGTCAGCCCCCAGCCTGTACCAGTGCATGGGATTGTTCCGTCCTAGTGAAGGACTTTGCGCTTGTCCTTATTGAACCTCATGGGATTTCTTTTGGCCCAATCGTCCAATTTGTCTAGATCTCTCTGAATCCTAGCCTAGGGTACTCCAGTGTATCTACTACACCACCAGCTTGGTGTCATCTGTGAACTTCCTGAGGGTGCACTCCATCCCACCTTCCAGATCCTTAATGAAGAGCTTGAACCCTGGGGCACTGCACTTGATACCATCTGCCACCTAGACATTGAGCCATTGATTACTACCCATTGAACCTGACAATCCAGCCAGTTTTCTATCCATCCCATACTTCCTTAGCTTGCTTACAAGAAAGCTGTGGGAGACTGTATTAATAGCCTTGCTAAATTCAAGGTATATCACATCTGCTACTTTCCCTGCATCCTCAGAACCAGTCATCTCATCACAGAAGGCAATCAGATTGGTTGGGCATGACTTGCCCTTGGTGAATCCATGCTGACTGCTCCTAATCACCTCTTTCTCCTTCAAGTGTTTAGAAATGGATTTCTTGAGGACCTACGCCATGATTTTTCCAGGGACTGAGGTGAGGCTGACTGGTTTGTAGTTCCCTAGATCCTTCTTCTTCCCTTAGATGGGCGCTATATTTACCCTTTTCCAATTGTCTGGGACCTCCTCTGATTGCCACGAGTTTTCAGAGATAATGGCCAGTGGCTCTGCAATCACATCAGCCAACTCCCTCAGCACCCTCGGAGGCATCCCATCTGGCCCCATGGGCTTGTACACATCCAGTTTCTTAAGTAGTCCCTAACCTCTTCCTTCACCACTGAGGGCTGCTCACCGCCCCAAACTGTGCAGCCAGTGCAGTAATCTGGGAGCTGACTTCGCCTGTGAAGACCAAGGTAAAAAAGGCACTGAGCCCTTCAGCCTTTTCCTCATCATCTATCACTACGGTGCCTGCCCCATTAACTAGAGCACCAACACTGTCTCTGACCTTCCTCTTGTTGCTAACATACTTGTAGAAACCCTTCTTGTTACCCTGCACGTCCCATGCTAGCTGCAACTCCAATTGTACTTTGGCCTTCCTGATTTCTCCCCTGCATGCCCGAGCAATGCTTTTATACTCCTCCCTAGCTGTGTTTTCCAACCTTGCACTTCTTGTAAGCTTCCTTTTTGTGTTTAAGCTCACTGAAGAGTTCTCTGCTAAGCCAAGCTGGCTGCTTGCCCCATTTGCTATTCTTCTCGCACATCGGGTTTCTTCCTGCACCCTCAGTAAGGTCCCTTTAAAATACAAGGGAGCCCCTTCCAAGATTAGGAAAGAAGAAAAATAAAACCATCATTTATTTTCTGATCCTGCAAAATGATATGTGCACACAGCACCAGTAGTCCCGAATAGGTGCCACTAAGGCGGGAAGTGCAAGGATCTCTCTCTCCACAACAGGTCAGAGCCAGTTAAGAGTAATGCAATGCTTCGTAAGCCATGCAAATGCAACAGAGTGTTTTCAGGGGGCAGTACAATCTTTTATTCAGTCGGGCATCAGACCATATGCAGCCCCAGGAGGACATGGGGGTCTGAAGATTCATGGCCCTGTATTGTATTTTACAAATGTTTGGACACTTAAGGACAAATCCTGCAAGTATTTCATCACAGGAATGGAAAGGTTTTTGCAAGAGTATCTCCAGTGAACATACCTATCATTAGAAGTCAAGAGAAATGTTTAAACCCAACAGGCAAAACTACCAGCAGCGCTGTACTTGCTTCTGACATAACATCCACATAAAGCTCCAGAACATTTTGTTCCAAGCCTGGAAGGGAAGCCCTCTGGTGTGGAATAACATATACAGGCGATCCTCGACTTGCAATGTTTTGCACTTACGATGGTTATAAATTGAGACCGTCTCAACTTTCTGACGTCAGTTTTGACTTTACAATGCCTGACCCAACGCCACGCCAGTTGCTCACCTCCCTGGAGAACATCTCCTCCAAATTTCCTTGCACACTTTCTTTAAGAAAGCAGACACAACTCCAGAAAAACCTGGTAAGACTCCAGTCAAGAGTCCTTCAATAACTCCAACCCCGAGCCCTTTAAAGTCCAAAGTCACCTCGAAGAAGTCCTTCCAAAGCAATACTATTGCTATTTACAATATAAATACATTGATGTAGCTACATTTCTCATCTATAATTAATTGACTACAAAATTCTGGGTTATTTTTGGTGAAAATAGGGTATCGGGCCTGGGTTCAGGAACCAGTCCTCCATTTATAATGTTGTTTCCTAAAGTTGGCTCCCAGTTGCAACGTTTCATTTTTTCAGGAGCCAGTTTAGGACTGCCTGTATCTAAAAAAAAGGAACAGGTGTGCAAATCAAGAATGGTTTCACACTTTCAACAGAGTTTGGCTTTGCTCTCCTTTCCAGCCATCTCCCAAATCGAACAGGATGGGGGGGGTAGAGGGAGAGGGATGCTTGGCCTATTTTTCTCTTAATTTTTTTTAGAAACAAACAAAAAAGAAATCAGGCTTCCGCGATGCGAGCAGCGCTGAGGCCAGACTGAGTTGTGGAGACCTTCCTGACTTCTGCAACAGAAATAAGAAGCTACGCGTCTGGAAGCGGCGGGCTATCGTGCAGGCTAGGGTTTCTGCTCAGACGCCAGGCACCACACGAGAGAAGGCGCTGCACTGAAATACCAGGCCAGTCTAAACAGTGACTGGCACAACGCTCCTCCTCCAACTACCACACAACCCCTTTGCCCGCGCCTGCGCCCTGCCTCCCCTGCTGCTCTGGCCCCGCCCCCCGCGCTCCCGCCGCCGCCGCCGCCGCCGCAGTCCGGCCCCATCCCCGCCCATCCCGCGAGAACCGCCATCTTCTCGTACGGTAAGGAGGCAGGGGCCAATCCCCAAGCCGTAAGGAAGCCGCCATCTTGTTGTACGGAAGCCCTCCTCACTCCCCCCCAACACGCTCCCGGACACGCCCAACGGGTACCGGGCGGTGCCACTCCCAGCAGAGCGCGCGGGCGGGGCGGCGGCAGAATCGCTGGCTGCGGTAGGAGACGGGGGCTAGGCTGTGCGCTCCCCCGCCGAGTGTCCTGCTCCCTGCTTCGTACCCTGCTCTGCTTTCTGCTCCCCAGCCCTGTTTCCCCTCCCTAATCTGTTGTTCCGCTTTCAGCTCCCTGCCCTGTCCCTTGCTGTGCTGCACTCCTTCCCTGATCTGTTGCTCTGCTTTCTGTGCCCTGCTCTGTCCTGCGCTTCCTCCCTGATCCGTTGCTCTGCTTTTTGCTCCCTGTCCTGTCCCTTGCTCTGTCCTGCACGCCTTCTCTGATCCGTTGCTCTGCTTTCTGCTCCCTGCCCTGTCCCCTGCTCTGCTTTCGGCTCTATCCACTATGCGGCACACGGGGCTGCCCCTGCCTTAACAAGCCCCAGCGGTTCAACCCTTTGCAGGCATGGCTTAACATGGAGAGCAACGTCCTGACCACCGCACCGAGATCGCTGGCCCTGAGCCTGCCGGCGCCCTCGACGAGCTGGTTTGGGGCAGCCCGGGCACCTAATCGCACCCTGCTATTTAGGGAAACAGGCTACTAGTAGGGGTGGCAGTTTCGTGCAACACCGCACTGTCTGCGGTCACTGGGAAATCCGGCATGGGCTGCGATTTCCCGAAAAATCAAAAAAAATGGTAGTGATACAAACTGAGTGAAGGCGCCCCCACCGATCAGCAGCCGGGACGGGGTCGCTACAAAATCGGCTCTGCGGGGCCACAAAAAAACCCTTTGTTTCACCCCAACTTCAGTCGGTCCCCACCTATTAGGATTGACAAACATCCAGTAAAGGCGGTGTCGCTCCCAGCTTGCACGGGCAGCGTGTCTGGAGGGTTATCCAGCTGGAGACACTTCTGTTGGGAAAGTTGTGTTTGAGCAAAAAAAAGCTGACGGAGACACATGTAGACTGGTAGACAGCCATGAAAACGGGCCCGGCTCCACGTGGTGATTAAATCTACACATTACCAGGCTTGAGGATTTTTTTTCCTCCATCTTCCCAATTTTTGGGTGTTAGGGAATATTTCTAGGGGAGGATGCCAGAGACATACCTGCGTGCATAGATAAAGATTTGGGTGAGGTGTAAATACGTATGAAAGTTGGATCACGCTTGGTGCAGTTTCTAGATGAAAATACACACGCGCACAGACATGCACACTGATCTGTGTAAATATGAGGTGCTTTGTTACCACACACTGACCGCTCTGCAAGTGGATACGTGGGTATTTGATGCAGTTAAATTATACCCGCCTAGTTAGTTCACTCCATAAAGGCATGTCTTCTGTAATGCCGCCTAATTTTGTTCTGAATTCGTGTCACCCATACTCCTATCGGCAGAATGTGACGCAATGAATGAAGATTAATAACTCTCTTGGATCTTGAGCCACATAACCAACTGCCTTTATTTTGCAACACTAGCCTTTTTTGTTCGCCCCCATATTGCCTTTATAAGACTATTTGGACAGGATCGAGTCCTACTTAGCAGACAGTGCGGTTTGTCTGCCAAAATTGAAACACAAAATGTCTCTCAAGTGGCTAAATATATGGAGGTATTAAACATCCGTATGGATTTTGATATGCAGTTTTTGCAATGAATTTTATTTTATAGGTCAGTTTGCTTTTAAAAGAAAATAGTGCCAAAGGAAAAAAAGGATGAACCCGGAAAATATCACCAAGGAAGCTGTCCTTATTACTGGAGGAGGTGGTTACTTTGGTTTCCGGTTAGTGCATACAATTTTAACTTTGCTTTAAAATAACTATAGGTGCAAATACTTGGCGGAACAGCTTTGCTTCTCAGAAATCGGTTGGTTAAAATGGAATTGCAGAGTTCTGCATTTAGTTATTCCCAGCTGAGTGTTTTTCTTTTAACTGCCTGGTCTGGACCCTCAGCCAAGTTGTGATTTTTCTGCCTCAAAAGTTTCTGCAAGCCATGTTATGCCTTCCATTAACTTTGTGCAACCCTTAAATGAGAATTCATCCTACCACCAGCTCCACGCAAACCGCTCCTCCCTCTGTGCATAGGCTGCAATCTTGCAAACATTTATTTGCACATTTAATGTTATGGAAGATTGGAGAGCGGGGGGACTTCTTTGGTCCATAAAGTTAAGCACCCACTTAAGTGTGGTAGGACCTGGGGCCTTCCAGGTGCACAGATTGGAATCAAATCCATCGTACCCTTCCACAGCTAGTTCTGCAGGTTTCAGAGGACTAAACAGTTGTAAACATTTATTTTAGCCATTACAAAAATCAAATATGACTTCAGATTCACACAGGAACACATCTGTTGCATGACAAGATGTCATTTTTACAGACACTCTTTGACACCACAACTATGCTTTAGTGGAAAAATCTTTTATCCCCTCTCCAAGGGCTTGGTTTGGATTTGCTTTCTAAGGATTATGGAAACAGCGCTTGTCGCAAGCAGAAAAAATTACCATATTTCTGCTTTGCATCAAATTCCGCTGTGAGCTTTTGCCGAGTCTTGCAAGTAGAAGCAGACAGTTCGTTTCAGACCCCTTAATGGGTACACAGATTCTTTGAAAACACTGACAAGCAAAAGGCAGCATTGAAATGGTTAAGGAGTCTCTCTCAGCCAAGGTGAAATGCTTTTATGCATCGTTATACTGCATATAGCACTAACATATGGCATCTGTCATGCTTCAGTTTAGGTTGTGCCCTATGCAAAAAGGGAGTCAGCGTGATTCTGTTTGATGTCGGGAAGCTGATCCAGGCTGTACCAGAGGGAGTAAAGTTCGTAGAGGGGGATGTCTGCCATCTCTCTGAAGTGGAAAAAGCCCTGCGCGATGTTATCTGCGTGTTCCATATTGCTTCCTATGGAATGTCTGGCAGGGAGCAACTGAACCGAAAACTTATAGAAGACGTGAATGTGAGAGGAACAGAAAATGTCATCCAGGCTTGCAGGAAAGCAGGCGTGTCGAGACTGGTCTATACAAGCACGTACAATGTCGTGTTCGGAGGCCAGGTTATCAAAAATGGGGATGAATCTCTGCCTTATTTCCCTGTTCACCTCCATCCTGATCACTACTCCCGGACCAAGTCACTAGCAGAGATGAAAGTGCTGGAGGCAAACGGCACTGAGCTTGGAGAAGGCAAAGGAGTGTTAAGGACCTGTGCTCTTCGACCAGCAGGCATCTATGGGCCTGGAGAACAAAGGCATCTCCCAAGAATAGTTAGCTACCTTGAAAGGGGATTCTTTAAATTCCTGTATGGGGATCCCCATAGTTTAGTAGAATTCGTGCATGTAGATAATTTAGTTCAGGCTCATATCCTGGCCTCTGAGGCACTCAAAGCCACCAGCCAGCACAGAGCTGCTGGCCAAGCCTACTTCATCTCAGATGGCAGGCCAGTAAACAACTTCGAATTTTTCCGACCTCTAGCTGAAGGCTTGGGTTACAGATTCCCAACCCTTCGCCTTCCTCTCACCCTCGTGTATTTCTTTGCATTCCTAACTGAAATGGTTCACACTCTGGTCGGCCCTTTATATAATTTTCAACCTCTTCTCACTCGCGCTGAGGTTTACAAAACAGGCATCACACATTATTTTAGCATGGAGAAGGCCAGGAAGGAGCTAGGGTACACACCCGAGCAGTTCAATCTAAATGAAGTGGTGGAGTGGTTTAAGTCACGGGGACATGGGAGGAAGCTTAGAAACTATACGGTAAAAGATCTCATTAGGGACGGAGGCTTGGTCTTGCTGCTGGCTGCATTGGTGCTCTCCTGGCTTCCAATGGCAATCGCAATGTCAGTGTGAAAGACACAACGTACTGAGCCTGTTACGTCTATTTTCGAGTGATAATACATGCACAGTACATGAGAATTGAGATGCAACCAGACCTCGCCTGCTCTCTCTGAAGAAATCCCATTATTACCAGCGGTGAAATAACTCTCCTCTTCAAGTCTTAAATCTATTATTTTTGCATTCCAGAACAACACAGTGATATATCCCAGCACTTTTGGGGGGTGGCCATATGGATACAGAACACACTCTGTCCAGCTATGGCACTGTTCAGATTAAACGGATCAACAACGTTACCAGACAAGTGACTATACTTAGTCGTCATACTGATTATAGTCATCTGTAGGGCAAAGTGAGGCTGTACTCTGAAAAGTAACACAGTTCCCAGTTCTGTGGTGTTTTGTTGACTTCCGTTGTCCGCGAGGTGTGAGAAAGTGAGCAGCCTGCATTCTTGCTTTGGGTTTGAGCCTGGTGTCTTTGCTTCTAACTGATCACCACAAACAAGAGGGATCCTTTGGGCCAACACAGACACATCTTTGTTCCCTCCCTCCATTTCAGGCATGCCACTGCTGACATCCACATCCTATTGTTTTCTGCAGGCTCGGAGACGCACAATTGATCCAGATTAATAAGCGTCTTGCTGGTGATGTGTATGGGGGATAGGGTTGTGTTCACCTCGTCTGAGCTCTGGAGAAACTGGTGCGTAAAAGCACGACAGCTCTAATTGTGTCACCTGGGTAAACAACAGTGGCTCTGAATACCCTTGGGGAACAGAACTGCTGATGCTACTTTTCTAGAGATCCCCTTTTCAGATGAGAGCAGCACTTCCCTTTAGCAGGTAATCACAGGCAGGAGAAAGATCAATATGATTGCTAATGGCATGTTGTTTGCAGTTACAGCAGCGTGCTGCAAATTATGGAACAGACTTACCCTTTTCACACTGCCCAGATTATACCCGTGACCCCTGCTATTGATTCTTCCTTAACAAATATGTGGCTCGTGGCCCAGAAGAGAACGCTCTACCTTGCTCAAAAGCAAGCGTATTTCGAAAACCAAGTTCATTCACTGTCCATTCCCAGCCAAACTGTGGTCTACAGTACGGAGATAAGTTTTTATAAAATGGCCTCATACCCATGGGCTGGCAAATCCACTTGAGTTCCTGTTCACCGGGGGGGGCGGTGTTTCCATTAACATCCACAAAGGATAAGCCTAACTGCTTAAACCTTACATGCTAGTAACTTTTGTTAAATAAGAGCCAACGTTCATCTGGAGTCAGTGCGACAGAGACTACCTTGATCGCTTGTACTAGCACAAGTACTCTGATAAGACAGTCTTTTCATGAGTTTGAAATGGTCACCCTGACGGAGGATTACCTGAGTATGCGATCAGCAATGGGAGCCATGCATTGGTTTCTAGTTCCGGCTCAGGAGTTTATACTGCATCAGCTAGTTTTGATCACTTCGTAATAATCAGACAAACTGATGATAACCAGAGAGCGAGCGTGCAGTTGTTCCTGAAATCCTTTAATTCTCATCCTTACAGCTAACCTTCCAGTTCTACCGATTTAATAGAAAGGAGGTTTGCAAGGCATCCGCCACTGGTGCAGCAGCCATGTGATTCAGAAACCGAACTCATGCCTAACATTGTATTCAGAGAAGTTACCTCAAGGTAGAAGTTGACTCAATGGATTTACTGTTAAAAACAAAAAGCATAATGATGCTAATGGAAAAAATACTGAAATAAACCTAAACGGACAGAAATTTTCGGCGTGCTCACATGTTCTAAATATATTGCGTCTGCAATGTCATACTTCTGAAGCACTTCTACAGCGAGCTAATTTGTAACCATTGCTGTAGCCAAGTGCTCCGTTTGAAGCACTGGTTTGTAGACTTTTTCTAACGGTAAAACATGCTTATTTAAAACGAACAAGCTGATTAAAATGTGCATTAATAAATAAAGGCAATGATTTTCTCCACAACTGAAGGTCTCAGCATTGCTGAATAGTTAACGCCACTAGTAATCCCTCAGGTACCGTCATTATTTCTGTGTTCCTTTGCTCAAAATACACGTCTAGAAACTTAGAAATAAGAAGAATTTCCCTTAACACCCTCTGTGACCGGAGAAAAGCTTTGGCTCTGTATTGGAAACGAAGCAATTTATTATTATGGACCTTGCAATTGCATTGATAACAGCACTTTTAGAAGTGTCAGACTGGAAAGAGCATTCTAGATCGTGGAGTCCAGCCCTACCACCACCAACCACCACATCACGTAATCCCTTTGATTTTGAAAAGTTTAGTTTTCAATGTAATAGGCAAAGCAATACTGACAGTTGAACATTCAGGATTTGGGGAACAATGATGTTATGTCTACAGCTGAAGGGCAGTGTGCCTTATAAAAACTTTGTAAATAGCCTCTCTGTTTTAGACGCTGGAGATACACGAAGCCCAAGCTGAACACGGAGAGAAGGGAGGAAAGCAAGCAAAGCAGCTGCTTGGTAGCATTTCCAAAAAAATACCAGCATGAAGGGGGTTGACTGCAGCAGGAATCAAACTGTTTGGGAACTGGAGATTTTGGCATTCTTGGCTGAATGAGGACAGCCCTTTTGTTTTCGATTCCAAAAAATTTACGCAAAAAGTGGTACAAATTCTGTAAGGTTAAATCAGTCAGTACAGACCCCCTTGTCTGAATGCTGTAAAGGATGAGCAATAACCTATCATAGCGAGAGGTATCTTTACTCCAGCTTACTGTGTGTCTACACTGGTTTAACTATTTCAGTGGGGGAGGGGGAAGAAATCACACCCCGCAGCAAAATCCTGAAGTCAGCACAAAAGCTGGGTGTAAACCAGGGTGAATGCACACCTAAACTAATACACAGCATCTGACAAAGCAGGCTGCCTATGAAGCTCATGCCTCTCTGAACCAGTTAGTCTTGAGGGTGCCACCCTGCCCTGCCTTCTACCCAAAATAATTACATTGTGGTATCACCCCCCCACCCCACCCCCTGTAAACCATTTAAGGACATTAGTGGCATCAAACCATTGGACTTCATCACAGGGAAAAGCTAACGGGTGTTTTTCCCCAGGCATAAATGAGGGGTTTTGTCTGTTCCTTGTTAGAGGCTAGCGTTCGTTGAGAATCACTTCTGTGTGCTCCCATGTTTGAGATGGGGCATCTAGTACAAGCGGGCAGGAGGGTTTGGGGCTCTTTATGGTACAATCAACCAAACACAAGCCCAATGGAGGGTCAAAGGCTCCAGGGACAAAAGCAGGCTGCATGCACTGCACTATCCCGTACCACTTCCACTGAAAACAAATGACAAACAATACACAGCAACGGCCAAAGCGACGGGAGACCCAGCCTGAAGGACACCGCTCTGCAGTGACAAAGCAACTGGGCTGTTGAGGAGCCATTTGCATTTCCTTTAATAGGAAAGGAGGACAGTGCCGCCCTCTCACAAAGCCAGTGTTTTCCCCAACACGTGCCACCTTCCAAAACGTTATGCCCACAGCACATGCTGCAAGTCTTGAGGCCCCCGATGGGCAGGGAAATAGGGAAAGGCCCCATTGTTTGTGGCAGGGAGGGGCCCTTTTATTTCCTTTTTTAAAACAAAAAGGGATTGATGGCAGCAAACCTGCAGAACGTCTAGCCCCTTTCAAGCGTGGAGCATCCTTCAAATGCAAGCTGGTAGGTTATTTTCTGCTCCGATCCCTGCACCACTGATCTGACATTAAGAGAGACGGAGAAACAGAAACGTGAACAGAAGAGGTGGGCAAACCCATAACGGATCCATGAGAGCAACAGGAGCAAACAGTGCAGAGCATGAGGTCTGTCCCCTCATGAAACTAATCAAAGCCAAATATATATATAAAAAAAAGCAGATAGTGGAAGACGATCTTCCAGTAAAACACAAGTCTAAAAATCCTAGTCCTAAGCAAGCTTTCCCTTGGAGAGCTTTGCCAATCAAGACAGGTAAAGGAGGTGTATTTATGATGTCTCAATGACATCTTTGCTGGGAACCCAATGGGGAGGTGCCAACTTCATTAGCATGAAAATTAGCAGTGACATTAATGCTGACTAAAGCAAAAGTCCCTCGTGGCTCTATAAGCAATACAGGACAGCACATGATTATTTGTGGCCATTTCTTGTGCTAGTGGGCTGAATTACTTACACATGAAAGGACTCTAGGGTCAGGTCCAGACTTTTCATCCAGAGCAGCAAGGAAGATCAGATCTTCATCCACAGAGACAAAAACGCACGCAGCTCGGGACACAAAAAGAAACACCATATGCTGGGCAGTGAGGATTTTTTCTGGTCCAACCTATGGAGCTCAGCTGGATGCTGCAGAACCATTCAGAAGCAAGCAGGGAGGAGGAATCATTCATTGCTTCCCAAAGACCCACCTTCATCCTAAGCATCTTTAGCTTGTCCTAAGCACTACTTCATCCTAAGCATCCTTAGCCCTGGGGCCCTGTCCTCCCCACAGAGGAAGTATGGGAATCCACATACTGGCAGACCCTCTTTCCCCACATACTTGTCTGCACAATGGGCAGACACGTGTACACTCGTTCTTCCCCGACTTCCTACTTGCCCCAATATCCTAAGTCACCTCCTCCCATATGAATGGTGCAGTATGGGAAGAACGTCCAGACCTGAAGAGACAAGGGTAGGATTTTCCTTAACAGCAGATCCCACATAGGGCCAGACTTGGCTCTTTTACTTGAGGAAAAGCCCCACTACCTTTGGGTGAGGAACAGCAAACTGTGAGACTGCTTAGCCAACTCAGCAGCATTTGGTATATTCAATAATTCTTCCAACTTTCAGCTCCACCTATTAAACCAAGCAAAGGACCGATAGCAGAAGAGGGGACCAAAACCAAGTTAAAAACAGGTAGCTTCAAAAAAACACTCCAAATACACCTGAAAATGTACTTCCTCAAAAAAAAAATCTGTGACAAAAGTTTCCTTCCAAATGTGTTTTATTACGATAATCCCATGGTTCCCCCCAGCCTCTTTCATTTTTTTTTATTAAGATCAATGAAGGTCATTACTTGAACTGAGCGCTGTGCCAGAAAGTTGCCAAATCCCAGTACGTTATTTGTGTTGCCAAATCCCAGTACGTTATTTTGTGTTCCTACATGAGAATTACCAGAGGGGCAGCTAAAAATTGAAAAAGCTGAAATCCTAGTACGCAGTATTGCAGCTGTACTGAAATCCTAGTACAGCTGCAATAATGATGAATCCTTAGATGAGGTCACATTCGAAACAGGTGCCTCCTTTCCCTTCCTAAACCTTTTAAACGGAGGAAGAACAAAACTAATATTTTTAAAACAAAAATTAACCAACTAGAAATTGATTTAGAAGATCGGCAACCGTTTAATGTCAGAGAAGTAACTGATACACTTGTAAAAATACAGTACTCATGAAACATGCTCAAACTTTTCATGGATGTGTATATGTATTTATTTAAAAAAAATTAAACTTCAGTTACCCCGCCAGCACAGAATGGAAATTTACAGCCTCTGATCCTATGTGACAACCAAAAACGGCATTTCCCCTCAAAGCTGCCTTTCATTTCTGCTAGCTTCTCAACATCCCCACATTCTCTGTGTGGTGGATGGCTTGATTCAGCAGTTTGCAAAATAATTCACAACTAAATTGTTCTTCAGCACTGGTGGGTTGCATTGATGAAAGGCCTTGTTCTCAATAGCTTGGGGAGGTTAGTTTTATATTCCAAGAACAAAGATCCAAATCCAGAAAAGCGCACCTCAGAAATCACTAGGATAACTTCTGCTGAATATGTATTTTTAAATATAGATCAGATGCTACAGAGACATGTAACTGGTACAATATCAAAAAGTACTCCATACGTTAAAAAAATAAGTTATTTTTTTAAGGACTTACAATAGCTTCGGGTCTATGAAAACAACATACAAATTTTTAACAGACATTTAAGAGCTTTTATAGTGAGCAAATCTGGGAGATTTTTTTTTCTTTGCATAGATTAAAAATTAGCCCACACATTCAAACCCAGTACTTCAGCGTTGGAACAGTCGCAAGGATGCCGAAGTGCTGGCATAGACTTAATCCCAACAAAGCGCTGACACCTCTTGGGGGCCTGAAAGTTGTTCAAACATGGGACACTGAAAATGAGGAGAGAAAAAAATCCTTGTTCCACCTGGTCTGAATGCCAGCTGAATATCGAGTCTGCTTATTTTCCTTTCAAGTACCAAGCAATACTTAAGAAGAATTTGGTATGTGCCACAATGAAGGGCTGTCTCTGCCCACCAGCAACTGCAACCTGGCGCACGCACCGAGGACTTTCAAGGGTCATTTCGAAGCACTGTGAAATGCACCAATGCCTACATACACGTGCAGTAACAGCGTATCGGCTTCCCATACACACATACTACTCTGTGCAAGGGAAGGAAATAATAATGGGAGAAAAGGGGCCACCTGAACAAGTTATGTTCAGACACAATCACCGATACTCAAAATTTGGGGTCCGGTGCTCTTGGACTCTAGAGTTCAAGGGGAATATTTCACCTGTAGGGTTTGGATCAGTCAAAATGCTGCAGGAAAATACTCTGTTGTAAGGAATGGGAAACTTCTTCACCACGTGTCATGCCCAGAGGTTACCGTGCACCTGGATCCAAAAGCCTGCTCAAGGGTGTCCTCCAGGCAAAAAGAAAAAAGCCTGCAGGGGATCTGGGGACTTTCAGGTCCACAAGGACTCCCTTCTTCAGAAGAATATTTGGGCACCCAGCAATCGACAACAGGGGTGACCAACCCGTGGCAAATGGGGGCGGGGTGTCTGTCTGTCAGTCACATGCCAGGAAGCAGGAAATAGAGCAGCACATCAGGCAGGGAGAGAGTCAGGCAGAAAGCAGAGCAGCAGAGCAGGCAGAGGAAGGGGATTGAAGTGGTACTTGGGGAGGGTGCAGAGCTAAAGTATGGCATGCCTGCCAAAAAGGTTGGCTCCCAATGATGTGTTGGCTCCCCCAAGGCAGCGCTGGACAAGACTGTCTGTGGAGAAGATCTGATGGGATGCAGGATGGGCAAGAAATCCGATTCAATTTTTTTTCTTCTTTCAGCCACAGACCATCCAGCCCAATCCTGCTGCAATCAAAGGGTTTTTTGACCTTGCAGGAAAGAGAACAGGAGGCTGCATTTGCGGCCCTCACCTCTCCCCCTTGAGGACGCCTGGTATTCAATTTGCAAAACATTCAGGAGAAGTTGTATTCAAAATCTGAAGCCCAACCCTTAGCAGTTACTGAGTCTCTACTAACACACTTCCATCTGAAGTCAAATGAGCCTTTTTGAAGAAAGCAAAACTGTAACAGTGTTCCTTGGACCGTCCTCTGAATGTGTAGTGGTATCAGGGAAGTGAATCTGGAAACAACAGAAATGGTAGCACGGGGAGGAGGAGAAACTGAAAACTGCTAAGGCTTTCTCCTGGGCAGCAAATCCCCCAAACCAAGCCAACTCGCTGTGGTGAGAGAGACAGTATTATATATGAACCGCTTCAAGCCTTGGGCTGTTATGTAAAAGACAGAAGACTGTAATTCTCTCTGCACCTATTTGAGAAGCACAATCAAACATACAGACTGAAAAAAATTCCACCCACATATGGAGAGAGCAACTAGGAACTTCACATTAATGAATAATAAGCTGCTAACATGAAGAATTGATGCGCACACAAATTAGGACATCTGGTTTCCAATATGTCAACCAAGGAAAGCAATTCTGTTCTTGCAAGGAAACAAACTTTCTGAATACAATCTAATAGGGTTTTCCCCATCTAAAAATCCTGTAATTGTTCTTTTAACTAAAGCCATAATGATGACACACCTGTTTGTACTTTTGCACACTGCTGTGCCATAGGAAAAGAACATTTTAGGAAAACAGTCTACATTTAAGAAAATGCAGGGCTGTTTGACAGTATCTTCTAAGAAGGTTTATAAAAGTATAGACAGGCAGCTTGCTAAAAATTCATTTCTATGCACATTACCAGCTGAAAGGACTTGCAAAATGATACTACACCAAAGTAAATTATCCTTTCAGAATCTAAAACACCTTTCCTTCCTGTGAGCAACAGATAGCTGCTACCACACATATTAAAATATTTTCTTGCATTGCCTTGAGGGAACAGATTTACATGATACAGAAAGTTCACATTTCTTTCTCGCTTTTTTAAAAGCTTTTCATGAAGCCCATCAAGTACCCCAGTTAACAGTCTTGGAGGATATTTAGTTTTCAAAAACTGACACATTCACAGGTGCTAAAAAAAATGTAACAAACTTCTAGCAAGAAAAAGTATAGCAAGAGCTACAAATTACCCTGAATATTTTACACTGTGGGGGATACAATCTTCTGCCTCAAAAACAGTAATATACATGATGTCTCAATCTTGTAAAAGTGCTTTTACAGCATTCAATAAATTAAACTTGCTACCTGTCAATCAAAGAGCCAGGTTTCTACTGTTGCAGGGTTGTATGCATGCAAACAGTTGTAAATGCCTAGCCTATGGCCTAGGCGCACACATGCCGAATACAATTTGCACTCGTACGTCAGGTATCTGCAAGGCAAAGCCAGGTCCCCACAAATGCGTGAGAAGGACCACATGCCCTGGAACTTTAAAAATCTCTCCCTTTGCTTCCTCACCACCCTGAGGTTTGCTATCCTGGATGCAAATAATACCTTGAATATGCAGCAAATCTAGCCTGCAAGGAGTGTACACTCGGTACAGAATATAAATTAAAATGAACAAGTTTCTCTCATAACAAGGAATGATTACGGGAACCTGTCTGTCCTCTTCTCAGCCTGACAAAATGTTCATTGAGTAGGATGTCCGGAGCAAATGAATGCCGCCTCCTGAGTGACATTAGTGAAGGTGCAACGAAGAGAATACCTTCCTTAGGAGTAGAATTTGCTGTTACTGACTTTCTTCTCCTTTAATCTTCAAAATAGAAAAATAAAGTAATTAATTTTGTTGGATATTCTAGGTGGAGAAAAGATCCCTGCAAAGCTCAACTCGCTTAGCTGCGAACCGTAAACAGTGTATCAACAAGTCCACGCATTTCAATTTTTCTATAAAACAAAATATTGAGCATTAAAATACTTTATATTTATGCAGCACTCTGTGGTCCAAGTTTTCTACACATACTAAGAAATAAATATTCAAGGAAAAGTATAACAAACAAGCTGCTGGAACTAGCCACTAGCCATGAGGAAGAGTGTTTGCATGTAAAAATATGTTTCCTTTTGAGTACATCCATGTTGGCCAATCTTTGAATATATGGCTACAAATTCTCCCCATTTTCCTAGTCTTTACTATATAGAATATGTTTCCTGGAGTTTCTTTGTGGTAATAATGACATATATTTAAAATGTATTCCATCCAGGGACTGCAAAAACAGGATGCCCCAAGGAGCTGTCTCCATTCAATACACGAAAACATTAAGAGCACACATTTTACATGAGAGATGGAGAAACAACTCAAGAAACTCAGCTCCCAGCTCTGTGCTCCAAATGCCAGCTAATAATACTAGCTCAGCTTAGTCACCCATTCCTAATGGGGTCAGTCATTAAGTCTCCACCCCACCTTATCCACAGGGTGATGCCATGACTTCCAGCCTGTTTTCTGCAGTCTTGTCTGGGGAGATGGCAAGGAGCCCTATTGCTACTGATCAGTCATGCCATACTTCTGATTTGAGTTGTGCCCCGGCTCAGTTCTCAGAAAAGCCCTGATGGGTTGACGTCTGACTGACTGCAACAATATTCCCCCGTCCCCACCTGTTGTTTTAGGAGCAGCGAAGATCTTTTCAGGAGCTTTTGAGCAGATGGTGCCACTTTTGGGCTCAGCTCCACTCCCAGTGCAAGACTGAGTCCAACAGCAACTGTATTTCTGCGGGGCTGTGCATCCTACTAGCAACCCCGCTCAAAAACATAACTCCTAGTTTGGGAAGCAAGCAGGATCTGTACTGAGAGTTGGACTTGGAGTGAGGGGTCTTTCTTCCTCAGGATGCTGTACTGATGTTGGACTAGCAAGTCCTCATGGTCACTATGGCTAACCATTGCATCTTCTCTTGAGCTCAGCCCAAACCAGAATCATGTTCTAATCCTGCATGTTTTAATATGTACACAGCGCAATTTTAAGAGCTTACATAGGCCTCATTGTGGGAGATAGGGTCATTTATTTGGCTGTTTGGACAGAAAAGTAGGGAGAAGAATAAGCTCCCAGGTATTTACAATGTGACTAAGACTGTCACTGGCAGCGACTGATCAGGCTGGTCCAGGGCCTCAAATTCCCTTTCGTAGTGTACAAGCCTACTGTTTTGGCTGGGTTGGCTGTTTTCACTTTAAGGTTTGCCATGGTCAGGCCAGACAAATACAGCTACTTCTCCCAGCAAAGACTCTTGTTCCTCCCTCCTCCACTTCTTAGTACACTCAATCAATTGTTGAACAAAGCCAAGATCTCTGTACCATACTTTATCCTTAGGTATGTCGTATGTTGTTTGGTATCCCCTGACCACGATAAAGATGGGGACCCTACCTCCTGTTGCACGTATCTTGGTACAACTGTAGCTGGTTTTCATTCATGCTCAACTCATTCAATAGGGCGTCTCTATTCGGGTTCCTGTAATTCACATGGGTGTCATACAAGAACAGCTGGTTGTTCAGTTCTGCTTGGCGCTTCCGAAGCTGTCGACATGAGGAGTAAAGTTCTTCCTCACTTTCCTTCAGGAAAAAAGAAAAGAAACCACTGCAATACGTGACCGCTTCCCCCTCTCCTTCCCTCACCACTTTCTTGTTGCCCAAAAGTGTGTTTGTCATCAAATTTAGTCTGTTTTAATAAAACGTATCTAGAAACAAGAGAGAAATTGCTGAAAGAAATAAAGAAACTTGTCAAAAACAACCCCCTGCCGAGACTATAGCATGTGTCTGTGTAATGTAAATGCGTAGGAGACAAATGAGAAAACAAGTATTCCAGTAATTGTGCCATACCGCTGAGTATAAAGAGGGAAGCAGCACACTGTGATGGCCATTATCTTGGAACAGTCTTGAAAAAGGTTGAAAAAGGTCTTCCATTTTTCAAATGTCACATCCACAAGAGTCCAACATGCAATCGCTACTAAGCCTGGTGCTTCATGCTCAGGTAGCCCTCTCTCTCTCATTAAACACCTAATTAAATAGCAGATCCCAAAAATACTGACTGGTCAGTGGACCCATTAATGGCAATGAGTGCTAAATTAAACGGGCAGATCCTCTGCTGGTCTCATTTATACCAGGGGCAGATCTGGCAGGCAAGGTTGTTTGGGTGAACCTTTTACTAGACCAACTTATATAGTTGGAAAAAATTTTCTTAGCAAGCTTTCGGGTATAAAAACCCTTCATCAGGCTGAGGAAGCATCTGCAGGTGGCGTGTGCTCTTCCAAGACGGAACAGGCAGATCTGGCCCTTGATGTTTGCAGGATTGGGCTTGAAATCTGTATCTGCCTGAGTATTTGTAGCTGTATGCTGCCCTCTAGAGAAGGGGCCCTCAAAGCTCTTTGCAAAGATTTATCAAACCTTGAGACACCCCTCTGAAAAGGGGAACTATTTCTGCAATTTCAGACCTCAGGCATGCGAGCCATCTCTCCCAGGAATCACTCATGTGCATGAGTGTTGGCAGGTCTGGGGTCTTCACGTCTACCCTAACAGCAAAACAAACTGCTTATCCCACTTCACCAAACATGTGATCAGTAAACAGAATCAAGTGAGACACTTTCACAGCCAATCAAGCCCTTTTCATCACTTACTCCACCGACTCCCCAGATGCTGAGAAAAAGAGATGACCTTTGCAACTTGCTGCAAGGTTAACAGAGTTCAAAAATCAAGGGACCTCACTGAGCACACACCCTACAGCAGCTTCCTGCCCAGCTATGTAAAGGAAAAGCCCTCTGCCCAACTCACTAAGGATGTTTTAAAAATACACTAAATCAAGGGCTTGTTTTCTCTCTTTTTTTTTTTTTTTTTTTTTTTTTTTTTTTAAGGGGACCATCCTTGCTCCCTTGGTCACAAATGGGGACATGCAGATTCCTAACTACTGGTGTACAGGTGTAATCACTGCAACACCTGCCTGTCATCACTAGATCTCACAAATAATTGTATCTAGCAAAGCTAGATTTTTAACAGCCTACAAACACAGGTGTGAGTTGAACTGACTGTAATCAAAGACTGCTTCAAAAATATTCATACTTTCCAAAGCAAGTAAATCAATTTGCAAGAGAATAAGATATGCTTCTACATTTAATAACTCTCTTAATGCGCTTACATTCCTACAATAGCTGGAAAGACTCCAGCGGACACGGAGAGGCGCCGGATATGGTCCTGTATGATAATTTATACATGCACATGCTTTTATAGCATTTAGGCATCTCTGTTTCTTGACAAATTCCACAACCATCTGTAATCCCTTTAATAATGTTACATTTCTCTCTCTAAGTGTATGCAGATGGGCTTATATAAACAGTCTTCTTATTAAATTATAACATTTTATAGAAGGATTTTTTGAGCAGTAGAACAGATGGGCATAGCTTTGATCTTTTTATGACACTTCTAGATTGGTTTGGCCAATGTTGTAAGAGTTTAATGGCCATGGTAAGTCTCTCTCTGCCGCAGACTGTGAAAAAAACAACCCTCTGAAAGCTCTCCTGCTCCGGCATCGCCACCCCAAGGTGACAGTCAGTGTAAATAGACAGTTGTGCTGTATCTCCATTTAGCCTTAACAAGCAGAAAGGGGCACAAGAGAGTGAGAGATGAGCTAACGCCTTGGTGCTGACAGTTTGGGAGGTGCACTGCAGCTATGAACAGCCCTTTAAAAGACACTCCGGCCCCAGGCAACTAACCGGCTGAATTTCTGAAACAGATCTCAGATAAAAGGCATTGACAATGTACTTAACAAACAATATCCACCCCCAGTGTGTAAAGTGATGGTAAAGGCTGGCTGAACAGTGCTTGGCACTGCACCACCCAACCAAACCCCAGGGGTAGCAGCTCACTGTCATAACCACTGCTGGAGACCAGCAACAGTGCTACCGCATACACAGAACTTGCCTATGCAAGGCATCCCACCACCTAGACAGCAACTGAGTTGAGGTTACTAAGCATGCTGGAATAGAGGAGAGGGCTCAGAGTCACCATACGACAGGCACAAGGAGCTAAATCATCACCTCAGTCATCACAAAGAAGACCGATGCAAGCCATAAGAGGAAGGGGAGGTGGGAAATGGTTCTGCACTTACCAGAACTTGCTGCATCTCACAGTAAACCAGAAGGGAAGCCAGCTCTATGTCTTCACTATAACCATTCTTGAGAGGGACTGACCTATAGCCTGGGGACAGGGTTTGCAAAAATAATTAAAGTGGAAGTACTGTGGGGCTGGTGCAGTTGTCCCTTCACAGAACTGGGTATGTCCACCCCCTTTCATCCACCTGCTCCATTTCTGGGAATTTGCCAAGAAAGCAACAGGAAGACAAGAACAATCTCTTGTTTCACCCAACCTTGCAAGCCCAACCGGAGGTGGGCAAGTCTGAAACTAACTCAAGGGATGTCCGCATCTGGAGCTGTTAGAGAAAAGCTAAAGTATTTAGCAGGGATTTCATCAGAACTCAGTCAGGAATTCTCTCCCCTCGGTGAAATGGAGACTGCAGCAAAACACATTAAATTGTCACAACTGTGCCACAATCATATCACAGAAGGAGTGGCATGAAGAGCACAGCACCAGTGCTGCCACATCCCTCAGAATAAAGCATGGGCTGAGAGTCAAAGACTGTAGGAGAAAGACTGGCCTCTTTTAGCGTTTGCCATCAGCCTGCAGGAGAGGAGAATTAAATCCACCCTTCTTACAACTCATAAGTCTTAGGGCACTGAAGCTGCTTTTAACACCTGCTGGGGTACTAGCTGCATTGTAGCAATAGTAGCTCCCTACCTGTTGTCCAGTTACTGATGGAATTTGTTCTACATAATCCTTTCCTCTTACAGCAAGAATTAAGGAGAATTTGCTAGTGGAGAGAGATGCAAGAAATAGGAAGAACTTGGTGGTGGGGAGAGATCTGTCTAAAAGTTTGTTCTGAATGGGCTCAATAACCCACATAAAAATGGCGATATCATATTTACATTCCAGGCAGGTCTTTCCCAAAAGCGCTCCAGCTGAAAGCAAGAAGCACAACGCCAACTGTGCTAAAGATTACATTTCCTTACTCAAGGATTTATCACACCTATTGATCTTTACCTGACTTGATTCCTTTGATGGGAAAGGTGGCATGGGCTAAGAAGTTGGGATCACTGAACATATCCTCCTCGTAAACCACAAAGCGCAGAAATGCCAGGTTAGGATCATAAATTTCAAACTTCACTTGCTCCGGACACATCGCCCATACTGGGTTTAGGCCGTTGTCATCTGGAAACAATGGGAAACTTCAGCAACGGATTGGCAGCAAATCATTTTTCTTTGCACGTAGACACGAATATATCCTAGGGCAGTCTCCAGATGTACCCCATCTGTCTCTTTTTTGTAGACCTACTTTAATGACTTTATTTAGGGAGGGAGGAAGGGAGGCAGCCAGATACATAAAGAAAAAACCCTTCATTTCAATACTTAAATAAAACTTCTTCACATACATATTTTTAAGGAGTGAATTCTTTGCCTAAAGAACTCTCTTTGCCTAACAAACTCCAAACCCTATGTTTCAACATAAAGAAACAGACATTAGCATGAAAATGAGTAGGTAGGAAGATCTGGGACCGCTCAGTTTGTATAGCCATTTGCAAAGTAGCACAAGATCCCATGTGTGTCTGAACACGTGCTGGAGTCTGAACAGACTTGATCATCAGTATAAAACATCAAGGTCTCAATAGTCTTCTCTAGGGCACACCACACCTCTCCTAATGGGGGTGCAGAGCCCCACTGAGCAGTCTGCATCCTTCTCTAGGGAGGATCTTCCACTGACATGTCATTGGTCTCCCCAGTTTGGATAGTAACAGGAGCTATAATGAGACACCCAGGAGCCGCACTGCCTCTGAAAATACCAGGTCAGGGTTTAAAAGGAAGGTCAATCAGCTCACCTACGGTAACAAGAAGTACAAAAAAATATTCGTTCTCCTTTTTAAAAAACCTGAATTCTGTTTCACCCCGGATGGGATGCAGCCCCATGAGCCATCCCAATTTTCCAGAAGGGTCCTGAACTTTAGGCTGTGCCCCAATGTCATCCCAAGACCTCTTCAAAGGGCGGTCTGGACTCAGATCCAGAAAACTGGTGCCAAGGCAGCAAACCCCTCTCTCCAAATAGTCCTATGGCACCAGGCAACATCCTGCTGCATGTGCTGAGCAACACAGCTGCCTTTAAACCAGGGGTGGGCAAAATGGCAGGTCCAGCCGGCAGCCAAACTCCGTTTCCCAGAAGCCCCAGCCCACATCACTGTGACCGATTTCCATGGAGACCACAGGAGGAGTGGGGCTGCAATAGTAAAAGACTGGGGTTTCCATGAAGACCGGTCCAAGCAGCGCTGACAGAGCGCATGGCTGGGCGGGGAGCTGCTCTGGGGCTGCTCCATGCATGCCCCAGGCAGGGACGTGCAGGCAGCAGAACATGGCTCTGCCCTGGTGCCCGCACACCCCAAGCCAGGGTGTGCAGGCAGTAGATGGCAGGAGGTGAGCAGGTAAGTGCAGGCTCAAGCTTGTCCCTGCCTGGCCAATCCCCCACACCCAATGCCTCGCCCATCAGCCAGGAGGCAAGCACTATAATACATAAATAAGTTTTTGAAGTTGAGTGCCACTCAATTTACAAAAATTATGGAGGTGGCGAGCTGTCTTGAGCCCAGAAAGACTGAGAAGCACTGCTCTAAGCAAATGCAGCAAAGTGTTCAGGACCGCGTGCTGGATTTTGTAAGCCATAAATTGGTCACTGTAGCTTGGATACGTTCAAATGAACCTGGTTTGTATATGCAGAGCCTTGTCCGAAGGTCCTTTGGGAATATACCCATTTCCTGGATTCAGGACCAGGCTTTGCATGCTGATGCCCCTCCTGCCCAAGCTGCCCAAAGCAATTATCTATCTCTGAACTCCAATCTAAATCAGAGATCTCAACATCGCCTTATTGTCTCTGTTTGGAGTGCACCTTTGGAAGCAGGCAGACGAGCAACTTCAGGGACACTTTTGGCAAAGCAATTTAAAAACATGTAAATTATATAAGCTCAGGCATAGCCAGAAACTTAACAAATGCAGCTCATTATGAACTGCGGTACAGTTTAAGACCTGTGTGTTTCCCTGCCTAAATCTGACATATAGCAAAGGTTATAAAATTAAATGGCTCCAAGGCAAGCACCATCAGTCAAGAGCAATAAAGTCACCTTATCCCTCCTGCATACATTGGTAAATTATAGTTATGCAACCATGAGCATCCTTTACTCGATTTGAATTGTCTAGAAGTACAACTCCATCCACAACTCAGAAGGCTGTGCAGATACTCACTCACAACCGTGGTCTTGAATTTGTTCGTATCATATTCGGCCCCACAAATTTCCACTTCTACAAATGGACAGGCAATACTTCTGCCAGGTTTAGGTAGATGACGAGCACCTAAAACCTATATGGGAGAAGGCAGGTCACAAAAGCATTTCCAAAAGATACAAGTCACCTTTTGTCCATAAAGCAATGGTCTATAAATCTATGAAATATAGTTCCACCAATGGGGACCAGCAGGCATTGGGGGAGTCCCTGCTCCCCCGAGCACTACCAGGAGTGACTAGAAATAATGGTCACAAGCTGGCAGAAGGTAGATTCAGATTAGACATCAGGAGGCGCTACTTCACTGTCAGGGCAGCTAGGATCTGGAACCAACTTCCAAGCAAAGTGGTGCTGGCTCCTACCCTGGGGGTCTTTAAGACAAGGCTTGACAATCACCTTGCTGGGGTTGTTTGACCCCAGTACTCTTTCCTGCCATGGCAGGGGGTTGGACTCGATGATCTGCTCAGGTCCCTTCCTACCCTATCAACTATGAAACTATGAATGGGGAGGGACAGGGGGTAATTTTTCTTATGAAGCAACTCTCAGGAGGGCATACAATCATGCACTCTCAAGTGTGCACATAAGATGTGCTGGTGACACAAGTAAAAACATCTTTAATTAAGGTGGTTCAACATTCCCCATTATAAGACCCTTATTTCAGTTGCTAATTCTCTGCCAAACATCATGGTCTGGCAGTGATTTTCCATACTGCCTCAGACTGATTTTTATTTATAAAACTTTCAGTTTAAGTGGCCTGGCCATCCCCAGAAGTTAAATTAGGGAAAACTTTTTTTTTTCTTAAGTTAGAACCAGTTTGTTGAGAAACACACTGGCACTGCTTTACTTTGCAGCTGGCACTTGAAATATAGCGCAGGGATTGGCCTCGTAGAAGGGATGTACCCTGTGAAAGCAAGCCCAGATACAGGCATGCTACCAGCCTCCACCAACAGACTCAATAGACTTCTTAAAATTTGTCCAGCCAAGTTCTCAGAAGAGTCCATCTCCATGGAGCATGCTATGTGCCCTCGCAGCTACATGCCAACTGAGGGGTGCCAGGGCCATTCCCAACCCACGATTGAGGGGCTGCAGTGGGCTTTTCTGCAACTGCTCCTTAAGGCTGCTGAGGACCAGAAATTGAAACCAGAGACTGTCTCTTCTGCATGCTGCTGGCACCCAGGACAGCAGAGAAGAGGAAGCCGCTAGATGTGAAAGTAAGGAAGGTAAGGAGAGTTTCTGAGGCTCTTGTCCTTGGACCCTTACTTCACACCTTGCAGAAGCTGGAATGTGTGGAGTGAAGGAGGCAGGAAAAGGAGGACTTCATGGTGAAAGAAATGCAATGGACTAGATTAGCATCCTGCAGGAGCTCTTTGCAGAGGCAGGAGTATCAAGTCATTTAAACCAAAATGACCACTACTGGCCAATAGCTTTGTACCACTCATTTTGTGGGTACCCAATATCAAACACCTGCAGCCAGATATGCTACAGTAACAGGCCTTCATGGAAACACTTAACATTGATTGGGTGTTATGCATTATGAAGGACTCATGCTACTGTGGGGGCAAATCAAGCCCGAGGCATCATAAGATGAAGACACAATTTTTTTTTATTGACTGTATTGGTCTTACTCTTGGCAAAGCTTGGCTTAAGCTTGGCAAAGCTTGGCTTACCAGGAAGGGAATGGGGTTAATGATGATAATCTCAGAGGGATGTTGTAAAGAAAAAGTCATTAGCATATGCAACGCACTGAACTACCACGATAGCAACAAAGACGTGCCCAGGAAGAAATTCGTAATTTAGGTTTTGAATGAACTGCAGAAAATACAGTGTTTCATGAAACAAGGAGGATAAAAAGAAATGCTGCCTATCTACCCCCTCTCTGAAGACGGCACAGTTCTTATGGAAAAATACTACAGGATCACACAGAGACTGTATCATACTGCAGCAGGGCCAACCTTTTGGGCAGGCCTGGCATGAACTGGCCCTGTGCCTCCCCAAGTGCCAAAGCAAATCCCTTCCTTTACCTGATCTGCTGCTCTGCTTTCTCCTCCCCACCCTATCTGCTGCTGCACTGCCTGTTCCCTTCCCAATCTGCTGCATCATGGCATGTGCTACAGGTTGGCTACCCTATCATCCCCTCTCAAAGCAGGGGATGAATTCAGGTTGAACAGGCAACTTTAATACAGTAAAATCCAATTTTTTTTATAAGTTTGACTTTGTACCTTTAACATCTTTTCAGACACCGGACTTCTGAGGATGTTAAAAATGCGTAGCTATAGACACCCCTTTGTTTCCTCTCTTTCGACTGGCTTGTATAAAAAGGTGTATGGGACAAATTTTCTACTAGCTTTTAATTGGCCCTTTATTGTTTTGCAAGCATAACAAATTGGACATGCAGCTTGGCACCAATAAGTATTTCTGCCCATAGAAAGGGTTTCATATCTATGCTTGTCCTTGACTGCATTTGCAATCAACCACAAACCTTTATTTCTGCCTAATTCAAGGGCAAAAATAATTGCAGGTGTAAAAACATGCCTGCAAAACTGTGAAAACCCAGCTAGTGCCTCCACCAACTCATAAACTTACATAAGGATGCTTACATAGGATGCCCCGTTGGACTCAAGCTGAGCAGGTAATGGTGGAGCTCTGTTCTCCAGTTTTGGCCCTTACAACTATTTCTAGAAAGCACTTATACTCTGGTTCACTTTCACAAACTGATTTTACCTCTCCTCCAAACTGCAGTGAGAAGTGGTTAATGCATCTGTTCCTTGACATCATTTCCTATAAAAAAATGCTATCTTGAAAAACATCTCTCCTACTGAATAGCAGTCGAGAAAGGAAACAAGTTCAACTTCCATTTGGCACCAGAAGACACTACAGTGTAGTGTTCAAACGATAAACTCCTTTTCTTCATGAAAAATGACATTCTGACAAGATGGAGTGTACCAAAATAACTACATCCCTTCCCCCCGCCCCATCCTGTCACATTTTTGGTTTCTCAGTTTCTTTCTTTCATTAAAAACTTATTTCTGTCACACTGGAAACCTAGTAAAATGTTGCTAACCTGTCTCTAATTGGATTTTCCCAAAGAAAAATAATGGAGGTCAATGTAAGTTTGATTTTTTTTTTAATAGTTATTATATAAATGACTTGAACATCACTTGCTTCTGCTCTACAGTGTGTGCTTTGTTAACAGGACAAAGAGAAACACATTTTGTTTCTGCGAAGGTGACAGTATTAGTTTTATAGTTATAAATACTCTGACTCTTTACATAAAATGTTTTGGCAATTTGTCACAGCTCTGGCTCTGAAGATATAATAGCTTTATTTTTTAGTCGTACAGACTTGCTGTTGCTGCTTGCAACGAAAATATATTTATGAAAGGAAAGACTTACCCTCACTGTCAGAATCATCTGTAATTTCCTCTTTGACTCACTTGGCATTGGATCATAGTCCTCATTTCTCATGGTTTCAGGCTGCAGAACATATCCAGTCCGCCCATTAAGCGAAAACAAGGCATGGTTCAACTGCATGTACTTATCTATAGAGAGAATTAAATAGTTGTGATAGTAAAGATCCCCATGTTAATAAATCCCAAGGGATTAATGCCAAGTACTAGTCTCAGTGGCATTTTCACTGGTTGTCACTTTTACCGGGAGGGGGTGGCATTTCACATCAATCATTTCACTTCTATAATTAAAATGCCTGGATGCTCTGGATGGCCTTCTGGAAGGCAGATTTACCTTCATGCTGAACTTCCTAGCTATATGCCAAAGGCTGGGTGGCCTTTATGACAGAACAGCCACCTTCCCAGCTGATTCGTAGTAACTGGGAATTAGATGGCCCTGTTCAGATATTAGACCCAGTTGGGAAAGACCAGGAAAGCCTATAAACTGTGAGAGAGCTCTATTAACTACACACCGTTATCCCTGGAGATGATGGGAAGGAGTCGGAAGAGGAGCTACCGAGAAGCCAAAGAGATGATGCACTGGTCAGGTGCGCTGGTTTTGTTGGATGCTGGTTGTCTGGAAGACTGATCCCGTGGGAGGGATGCAGCTATAACACGACCGCCAGGTCGTCAGGGTTGTTCCAGAGTAGCAAGAGCATGACAAAGTCAATCCTCAACATTGGCTGATAACTATTAACTGCTAAATAGCATTGCTCCACTAATACAGCTCTTTAACATGTGATGTATTAAAGCCCAATCCTCATCTTGTGCCAGTTAGTGTCTTTAATGAAGCATATAGAGATGTACCACTTTACTACAGCTGGTGCTTTTGCCCTATCTGCCCAATTCAACCCCTATTAGCACGAACTAAGACTTGCACTGATTTCAGTGAAAGCTGGAAGAGCGTGAAGGCCTTTAAGGAGATAACTTTCCTGAGAACAGACCCAGAGAGTCACAGGCCTGAAACACTTTCCACTTGCTCTCTCAAGCATTCACCTCTCTCCTAGCACTAGGTAAAGGCAGCCACAGTGATTGGGGCAAGAGAGAAAAGTGGAAAGGGCGGCTGCTCCGTGGTAAAGTGAAGAAAGAAGCAGCCCTTTTTTAAAGAAAATGTTACCTGGAGTCTGGAAATTAAGAGCCACCATCTGAGAACCGCAAAGCCAGAGGCGAAAGGGGTCATAATTGGATGAGTCAACCCTCTGTCCTTTAGGGTAGACCCGCGTCAGTCCTTTCTGGTTATAATTCAAGAGCTCAACAGGTTTCTGCTTAACAATGCCTTCAGCCTTGTTTTCCACAAAAGAACGGATTTCTCGGAAATCAGGGTTTTCTACACGAGGGAGGAGGAACAAGGTGATAAAAAAAGAAACATTACCGTTTCTTCTCCATTTCCATTCCTCATCCTTCAACACAATAATTGACTATGTTTTAATGCAGATGCTGCAAATTGGCTGAATATCAAATCTGAAAATTAAAATAACCTGCCTGCCTGACAAGTCTTCTAATTGTGCATTGTGGTGGGACAGATGAGAGCTGTAGCAGTGTCCTCATCCCGTCATTGCTAATAATGAACAGTGAAGCACGTATTTAAATAAGACGTCCTTTCCTGGGCGTACATGGGGAAAGGGAGGGTGAATCAGGTTAGCGACGCCTCAGACAATGACTGCAATTATAATGTCTATCCACACTGACAGCTCGCTATAAATGTTTGCAAAGAATCTTAAGTAAAAAGGACATATTTTCTAGCTACTCCACGGACCAGGCAACAGTGATAAAAAGCCAGCAAGCAGCCAATTCCATCATCTGCTTAAGGATGCCACAGATACCAGTTCAATTCTCATTTATGCCAAGGTAGCTACATTGCTTCAAAAGCTTAAAGGGGCCTTCCCATAAATGACAACCCAGCTTTTACTGTAAAATATTCTGTAATGTAAAACAAGTCTATTTTAAATAAATCCTAGGTCAGATACAGCCTTATCTCATCGCTTAAAATGAAAAGCAGAGTAACCTATGGATTTCTAGTGAGCTTCATTATTAAAATGTTATTGAAAGGATGGCTTGGGTACGCCAAAATGAAATCTCCCACAATTCCAAAACACAGCTTCACCCCATTAACGGAGTTAGCTTCCTACCCTTTGTCGCTGCCATTCTATTAACCTTGGCAATGCAGAAAAAGAAAATCTGCACAAACGATTTCCCAATTATTCTTCTCACCTTGTTCATGGTTTCTTCTCTCTCGCATTTTAGTAATCTGTTCTACATTTAGTCCTGTGCTTAAGCCCTGGCAGGTTGAGATATGTGCTCCAAGCAATTCTGATCAATCACTGGATTTTACCTGACATTCTATAATTGTATAGCATCAAGCACTCTGCAGTGCACAATTCCCACTTGGCACTGCACGTCCTGCATGCAAGACAGAAGTGTCCCAGTGGAGAACAGATGCAGTCGATTTTCAATTCTAAAAACTTTTAAACATACTTGAAGAGTAGTGGCAAGCTGACTGGATTATTTTTAAAAAATTACCTAAGTTGTCCTTGGTTTTGCTTGTAGGCCTGCAGTAGATAACCAGATCAGAGAGTTCAATAGCAATTAACTGATTCTTTTCCCAATACTTCCTCCTATTCTCCTGTTTCAGACAAAAATAAGTTATTACTTGTATGGTATAATGACTCCAAAGAAAGTATATTAAACCATTACTTGCTCCTTGAATCCACTTGAGAAACCCACGTGAATGCAACATATTTAAGTCCCAATTCAGGAAACCAGTCCTATTTAGGAAAGCAGCTTTGCATTGGTTCAGTGAATCTGAGTCATGCTTCAAAGCCTGGCAGCTGAATTATTGTCTTTATGGAGCACCACATCATTTCAGTTAAGTTCCTGGCTCCATGCAAACACACACAGAAAAATAAGCAAAGCACAATGAAGTTTCCCTCTACTTATTTATGATCTCGAGCAGGCTTCAGCCCTTGCTTATGACTCCCAAAAGGCTGTATTCCAGCTGCTTCCAAACGCACAGAGAACTGCTTCAGCGCTTCACCAGCTGCAAAGCAACCCCCTGCCCCAGGTATAAAAAAATAACACACTGTCAAGTAGGCCTCATTAGTAAGGAGACCATGACCTACTACAACACTGGATGATTTAGGTCTGGAGGTTGAATGAGGGTATATGTAACCCATGTGAACAGAAGTCAGGAAGCCCTGCTCTTCCTTCCTCTGGCAGGCAGCAGTAGCTCATGGCAAGTCAACGTGAGGCCCTGCACCAAGAGCTCAGGAGGCGTTTGTAATTACAAACAAGCTTTTCAGACACAAGAAGTCATGGCAGGATGAGAAGTATCGAGGAGGAGTCACACGCTGGACAGTTATTGGTTTCAGTAGAAAAGGTTATGAAGCAGCAGGAAATCTCCCAAAGGAATTCTCCCAGCAGCAGCAGGAGGAGGAGGGAAAGCAGGACCCGCAGAGACATACTTTTCCAGAAGTAGTCACCAGGCCAGAGACCATATGCTGTGGTCTAAGGAAAGCAAAGAGGAATTTAGCGTCATTAATGGAAATGGCCTTAGTAACACAGGTGTGAACTAATCGTACCTCTCTGTGCCACACCAGGGTGTAATAAGCAGATGACTTCCAGACAGCAACGTTTTCCCTAGCAAAGAAGCATTTGCAGGTGCTATAAGCTCAGTTTTACAAGCAATGACTTCTAGCAATGGTTACCCAAAAATGGATTATTTCTTGGGCGTGGTAGCGGCAGACAGAGGCAACAAAGCAGATAAAGCCTAGAGTTAAATCCTCAAAGCTTTACAGTCTGCACATAGTGCACAGTGCCTAAATTTCTATTGGTAACATCTCTGACTTGCAATATACCATTATGTTGTCCTTCCTGCACGCCACCTCCCATCATCCCTCCAAGCGTAAACTGCTCATCATACTGGCAAACAACTCATTTCTTCCCGGCTGTCTATGAGCTTTCAAGTGGTAATGTAGTAAAGAGTGAGTCGCCTGGTTGACAGAGTGGGTTTGAAAGGATGTTTGAACTTGCAGACTGTTTAATACTTACCTGACTGTAAAGAGGGACAAAAACCTACCAAACCCAGGAAGAGCTGCTGATGTCTCATGAAAAACATCCTGTTTGGACACGTTCCTGATCAGCTGTGTTTTCATTCTCTCATTTTTAGTACTGAACTAAAGCCAGAGGCATGAAAACCAGATTTTTGTTTCAAAACAGATCAACAGCTCCTGCTGCTTCTTTCCTTAGCTGGATTTCCAATCCTCTATTTGTGACATCAAGTTTGTTTGATGTGAAAAGGATTCTGGTGACAGAAGGTAGAGACTTTTCTGTTCAGGTGAGGGATAAGCAGCAGGAACCAAGGAGATGCTCAGAAACAGAAATCCTTTTGTCATGCAAACAATGCAGGTAAAAACTAAAAAGCAAAGAAAATGAATGCAGGAAAGAGAATCTCTAAACAGTTTCCACAAAATCTTCTTGATGGTGTCAAAGGCTTTTCAAATACTGGAAGGGGATGTGGGGAAGAAAAAGGGAAAAGCAAGCAGAATATCTGTAACTAGTCTCTCTCAAGTAGTGGCAAACATCTCAAACAGGAATTTCCAGGTATTTTCTTGTTGAAGACGGAGAAGTTCCTATTACATGGAAAGAGTAGGGTTCTTAAGTCACATATAACACATTTTGGTACAACTGGGAAATTATTTCAGAGGTTTGCTGGACAGCAGAGGAAGGACACAAGATTATGAAGGAAAGTTTAGGCAAAGGTGTATACTACCATTCTTCCAAGCTACCTATCCCTTGAGCTTTCAAGTGGTAACGTACTGAGTGTACACTATTTGAGGTACTTGTTTCTCTGCTGCCATGCAACAGATGTGACATCCCTTATATTCAGGCAGAGGGTTCTGTTGCATGTACCACTGTGATTCTTTTGGTATTCCCCTTTGTACTGGTGCACACAGCTACACAAGAAGATGGAGCACCAGACCCATCAACAGGAAGGGGTGCTATGCCAAAAGCTTTCAAATACTCTAACATATCTACTATGTCTGAAAGTTTAGACAAGACCTCGTTTGGCAAGGTGTCTTATTCATGTAACGAGTCTCCCTGAAGTCAACAAGCTAATAATAAGCAAGAGGGCTTGACAGACAAGAGCAAGGCTTGGAGAACTGATGGATGGTTCCCCAATACTCATTATTTCTTCATTTTTTAATTTTATTTTTTTTTACCTCTTCTGTCGTTTTCCATGTGATTTCCCTGATACTCTGGAACCATTCAAATAACTCTTCCACTTTATCAGTCGCAAATTCAACAGGGGGATCGTCTGGATTCTTCGGTTCCAGCACAAAGACAAAAGACTTATCATGGTTCCCATGTGGCATTTTCACTGTTGAACAACAAAGAAACAGATACGTATACTAAAATCCATAAATATTTTTAATCTTTCTGTACGCGATGTAAGCACAGCATAAATGACAAGGGTGCTCCATGTGCACCCAATTCAAGGCACCTGAAAATGACAAACCTGCCACAGCAGTGTTCCACATATAACACAGAACAATTTTATGGCTGTTCCATAGTTTCATAGATATTAGGGTTGGAAGGGACCTGAGCAGATCATCAAGTCCAACCCCCTGCCATGGCAGGAAAGAGTACCGGGGTTCATATGGTGCTTTAAATTCAACATGCAGCCAAGCCAACAACCTGCTGACTGGGCTTGCACCAGGGTCTGGATTGGGGCTCACACCAGGGTCTGGAACCAACCCCAGTGCAGCCCCTGTCAGACTATCAGGGCCCCAGGCCCAGACCTTTGAGCATCTGGCAAGCAGGGATTGAGGATTGGGGATAAGAGCCCATAGAACATTTAAATGAACATCTGTCAAAGGCCTCATAGTCCTATTTCTCTTTGTGGGACCAAACAATTAGTATCACCCAACAGCATTATGCCAATGTGAACACAGGCACATTTCACTAATATTTCCTGCTAAAGGGGTAACTGCTCTAATAAATATAGAAAATACAGGACGCCAGTTAAAAGTTCGAGAGTCTACATACCAACATTATATGTATTGAGGACCAGTATACCACGACACAGAGCTCCCAAAGGATTGTCCTCAATGATCTGTGAAAAACAATGGGTTTAATTTCACTCTGTCTTTTCCCTTTAAGAAAACATTCAAAGGACTCTTAATAAAATAAATAAATACAGACCGCAATTTCACTGAAAAGCTGCCAGCAGCCCTATTTAAAAGTTTAGTTTTATTACAAGAATTTCTCGTTATGCGAGAGCGATGAAGAGCGAGGCTGGAAATAACTCAATGAGTGTTTTAGTAACTGTTGGTCTGTAGCACTGTCATTTCACCCTTTCTGAATCTGAAAAAAAACCTGGCACTTGAATCCAAAATAAACTTTAATTTTCCTTGTAAAAATAATTGTTGTTTAAAACTCGGAAGCCACAAGGCCAAAGATTCTGTCCTGCTGGAACTGTTCATTTTTGTAGCCTTCCTTTGCTCTAAGTCACAATAACCATAAAGACTTAAAGCACATAACCCAACCCCCAACAGCTCGTGGCAAAAATGGTTTGAGGGAAATAAAAGCAACAAGAACATTCAATATTTTATTCTTTTAAACAAGCAGGAGACTTAGGAAGTTTAATAACTAGGTTTTGTTTACCTAAGTTAGATTAAACTTATCCTTGTCCAAGACTTTGAACCAGATTTTTGCATACTTTTGGCAGCCATAACCAGGCTTTTTGTGTACGAAAACTGGGTAATGAAACATGAAGATAGTTTGCTGGATGCATTTATCTAACCAGTTTTCCTATTTGCAAGCATCAGTGCAGAACCTATATAAGCAAATTAGGTGCATGCTTTGGACATGCAATTCCTAGAATACAATCAGCAGGTCTGTCCAACTTCTAAGTAGTCAGGAGCCATACACTGCTCGGGCCACACTAGTAGAGACAGCACTAGTATGAGCCACGGGCACTCAGGCTACCACCCACCTCCCTACCACCCAGTGTACCCCCGCCGTACCTCTGCACCACGTGTGCAGCTCTTTCCCTGCTGTTGCATAGCACCTGCGTGGTACCCTCCCCCACCACACTGCATGTGTAGGCTGCCCCCACCTCAAACTCCCTCGCTGCACTGCTCCATGGGCTTCCCCTGCAATGTGGGCTGCATTGCCCAACCCCCTGGGGTAGGAGTAGGAAGCAGAAGCTAATGGAAGGAAGGGAGCTTTGAGACCCTGGCTGCAGGAGCAGCTAGATCGACAGGGGAAGTGGCAGCTGGGGGCTGCACATCAACCTCTCGGGGGCCACAAGCAGCCTGTGGGCCATCAGCTGAATGGCATTATCTTAAAGCACAGGTAAAAAAAAGAAATCAGATGACTCACAATAATCTTCTGCCTGCAGGGAGGTATTATGGCCTCATTCTTACCCACTCAATCAATACCCAATCTCCCAAATATGACAGGTCCTGCCAAACATGACTACCAACATCCAGAACAGCAAACAGTGGGTTTAGTTTCTCATTGTGCAGTAAGACTGTATTATACAAAACATGCAGAGCTACAATTCCAGAGAGACTGGTCCAGCAGGCAGCATCGTTGTGGTAGAAAGCTATCAGCCAAGTCTCAAAGGCCTCACCTGGCTTTCAAGTTCTGCAGCGTTAACAGATGACATGTCCTCCACGTAATTGGATGGAAAATAGTGCTGGACTTTTTCTCCATAGTCTCCTTTCCACCTAAAATGAAAACAAAAAGAAAAAGGCCTTCCAACTCAGGCCATTAATTTAGCAATAATCCTCAAGAAATTGGCCATTAATAACCAAGACCAGTTTGCTAGCAGGCTATCACCAAAATAAAAGTGATGAAGTAGCTAAAAGCTCTAACAAAGTGATCGTTAACTGTGGTAACAGACGATTTCAAAGGGATTACAGCTACTGTAAACTGCAATTAATGACTGAAGAGGCTTTTTCCCCTCCAGTACTAAAAATACTCTTGCGTGGTTGATTGCCTTGTGGAAACTACTGGGAAACATTAGATCCCTAAGCTTTTCCATCAATTTATAAAACAGAAAAGAAAATACTTATGAAGACTTGGGGGGTGGGAATATTTCTAACGTGTCTCTGTTTCTGGAGGTGTCCTACTCAAAGTTGGGAGGGGGGCAGTGGCAAACTGGTGACATGGGGTTAGCTGACCATTGTGCCTCCTGGAAGAAGAGGCTTTCAGAATAGAAAGTCAAGAGGGCGGATGTCTGACACACTATGATATGGTGCTGCATCAGGCCTCACTTACTGGCACGGGAAAAGGCACAAGCATAACAGAATGGTAAAGAACTGAAAGAGAAAACTGAGGCTGGAACAAAGGGCACTTGTACATGTAACGAATATTGCTCATTTTTGAGGTTTAATTGCATCATGCTGTACATGTGCAAGGGTATTGTGTACAATTTAAATGAGTTTGTTACATTGCAAACTAAACCACCAAAAAAAATCAGGCTCCTCACCATAACAGTAATAGAAGCCCCTAAATTCAAACAGTGGGTTTTTAACCATCGCAATTAAAAACCCACTGCTTCAACTTAGGGAACTAAACCCCCATCACGTGTACAAGCGCCCTTTTAAAAAGGGCAGAGAGCCCAACCAGCAAGGGACCAGGCCTAGCAATCAAACGCTGCAAGCCCAGGGTCACTCCGCTCAGCTTTCAGGGTTCCCATAATGCATCAAAAACTCAGGCACAGGCCAAGTGAGTGTCAAAAGAGGAAGCTGAGGAAAGTAAAAGGGGATTTTCTTTATTTAATGGATCTATAAGGGTGGGCCTAAGAAACAGAAGCACAGCAACAGAATCCATCGGATTGGAAGGGACTTCAGGGGTCACTTAATCCAATCCTCTGCACAGATCCAGGATGTGCTATTTCCAAATCATCCTAGACAGAGACCTATCCAGTCTCTCTTTGGAAAAGGGGAATTCTACAACTTCCCTCAGCAGTTTGATACAGTTTGGAAGTCCTTCCTGAGATTTAGTTTAAATCTACTAAAAGACAGTTTAAACCCACTTTCTGTTGTTCATCCTCTTCTCTATGGCAGCCTTTCCAATATTTAAGAACTGCTATCATGGCCTCCCTTATTCTCCTTTTCTCCAAACTAAACAAATGTCTCTCACATGGCTCCCTCTCCAACTCCTTTATTGCATTTGTTGCCTAAATCCAGATCATCTCTAAACTTGCAACTTCTTTCTTACAATGTGCCACTCACAACTATACACAATACTCCAGGTGTGGCCTAACCAGCACTGACTAGAGCTGCGTTTCTCAACCCGTGGGTCACAAGAATATATGAAAGGGTTGCGAACAAATTTAAAAAATGGATCAACTAACTTTAAAAATGGATTCTCCTTTAAAAAAGACTAATTTGAGAAATGGTGGGTTTTCCTTTGCAGGCTGGTAGAGTTCCAGCCTGTAAGGGGCTATTTGGGGACCCTCCCGCCCCACACACCACTCGCTCCCCATACACTTCAGGGATGGGGGGCAGCGGGTCAGGAGTGAGGGGCACTGAGTCAGGACTGGCCATCTATGTTTACAAATGGGTCCCGGTACAAAAAAGGTTGAGAACCACTGGACTGGAGGGGCACTATTGCCTCCTATGTCTTCCACACAACACCTCGGTTAATGCAACCTAGAACTGCATAATAAATGAGAAAAGTTTTAAGAACCATTGCCCAAAGCTGAACCAACTTTCCTGTCAGGTTAACTCTACATAAGCTCTCTCTTAAGGATTCCCTGTCCTTACCATCCTCCTGTTTCCTTCGTGACGTTATGAATTAGAGCCCCTTGGCAGAAAGTCAGCTCATCACTTCTTTTGGCTTTGTAGTCATATAAGGCTCTCACTGTTCTCTGAGGCTTCAAGAAAAACAAAGGGAAAGGGGTCAAAGAGAGGAACAGGTCAGCAACACGATCAATAAATCCATCTTAAAGAGAGAAGAGAAGAAAAGAAATTGGATTTCTTTTTTTTTCTTTCTTAGATTTCAAGAGCTTTATACCAAAGTTCCTGAGCGACATCTACTGGCAGAAACCATCTACTGCTCAGCCAGCCCTCGCAACAAAGGATTTCTCTTCTCTGTGTGGTGACATGGTCAAACAATAGAGAGAACATTGAACTGTCACCTTTGCATCCTCTTTACATGCCTGCAGATAGGATCAGAGTCTCGAGACTTGGACGCAGTCCAACGGTTGTATCCTCCGCAAAACCTCATCAGCAATACTACAGATCAAATTTCCTCCAGGAAACCCTAGTTCCTAGCACTACAAGCAATTTCCTTATCATGAATTCATTCCCACCTGCATTCTTTCATCGTGAAGCAAAGCCATCAGTCACAGAGACAAAGAACTACAGCTAAACATGCATTTAGAGCTGAGTACACTTTTATGAGAGTTAGAGATAAATGTGTTTACCATCCCACTTGCTTTTATATGTTAAATGTTATGCATCTTCAAAAAAGGTGTAATAAAATCTAATTTAAATAGTTAAATGTTCAATAAAAAGCTCACTTTTACATAGGAAAAACGTATGCATGACTATGCACCTACTTTTGCCAGTAAACCACATTTGTGAGTTTACTTGTAACCGCATACACGAATATACCAGTTCAAATGTATGCATTATTGGGACTTTGCAGGCTGGACTTTACTGACGTGCAGATTTGACCTTCTCAGGCTGAACTTTCAACTGGGGCCTTCCTTTTGCAGTTGCATCCACAGAAGCAGGCATGCCAAGCCAAACTCAATACCCAGGTGCCCCATGTTCCAGTCTGCATAAATCAATACAGTGTTTGTAGGTGCAAGTGGAAAGGGAAGACTTACATACAAAAAAAAAAAATCACACCCTCTACAGTTTTACTTTCCTCCACACGCCAGTTCTGCCACGACATTCAACCACACTTTGCAATGTTTCTAACAGGAAATTAACACATATAATCATGAGCTTTTTCAGGTATCTAAAAGGAAGTTTTGTTCACAAACTAGCTGGAGCACATACATACCACTGCAGGGGTTATTTCATTGGGGTCCACGTACATCTTGACATCATACAGCGAGTTAATATCTTTTTCCTAAAAGTAGAGTGGGGGAAAAAAGGGAGGTTATGGAAATATATTTAAATCTCAAAGACTGCTGTTGGCAGAATGAGGGCACCTCCCTGCGTTGCATGTGGGTTAACCCAAGCTGTGTTATGTGCCCATTTGTAGACCCCTGCACATCTTTAGCAATAGTCATTCAGGCTGATTCAACAGTGAAATGAGTGGGTTCACAAGGAAGTTGTCGCTTCCTCACTGAACCGCTTCACTAGCTCTTACAGGACCCTTTTCATCCTTAGGTGTTAAAGTACCCATTTTAGAAATGGAGAAACTGAGGCACAGAGAGAAATGTTTTGTCCAATGTTACCAAGCAGGCTAGAGGCACCACTGGGAATAGAGCAGGGTTCTGGCTCAATGTCCTACCCCCTAGCCCACATGGCCTCCATTACAAAGATAATCACTTGCCGTGCTGTAGCGATTCAACAGTTCCTCAGTCACAGGGTAACGCAATTTCATTTTCCTGTACAGCGGATGCTTTTCATAGTAGGTCACCAGCTCGACTAAGCTTTCAAAATAGGCAGAGGTTCCAAGCAAAAAGTGGCGGCCTTCTTGTTTAATGCGCAAGTGCTTCACTTTCCCCTCAGCTCTGTGGAATAAATGTGGGTGCTGTGACACTTTAAAAGACACGAGCACATGGCAGAATGAAACCCCATTTGCATTCAGGGATTGTGATCCATATCGTATGTTCAGTTTGTAAAAGAGCTCCCCGCTTTTCCAAAGCTCCATGTTATTTTCAGCCATCCCATGGCTGAATCCACAAAAAGGAACCTGTTCAGGAATTTTCTCACTCTTTTGCCATTAATGGAGCTAGGGACTTCCATGGTTTTTTTATCTACTTGGACTTTTCTATTTTCTCTCCAATGTGCAAGCTATTCTAAGCTTCACAATCACCAGCCCACAGCCTTTTTAGACATAAAAGACACCTTATCAACACTTCAAACCTGCAATGACTTTGAAATGTCTACTGTTTTTTTCTGACTTTGAAATCTTTTCATAAGGATTCAACTGCATAATAGGCTTCAAATACCTATCTCATCAATAAAAGAAAGGAGAGACCAGGGTAGAATAGACTTGAGACTTCTGAACAACTTCAGTACAAAGTGAGGTATGTAAATAAAAGCCAGCATGTACCCAAGGCAATTTTGCATATTGTAGTGTGATATAGTCCTAAAGAAGAATTCAAAAGGAATGACTGAGTACATTACAGTTCCTGTAAACATGCATTAGTTTTATAAGTGAAATTGAAGTTATAAAGCAGTTTCCAGTGGCAAGAAATACTGAAAAGCAAAAAGCAGCTTCATTTTTTTTAAGTGTGCAGTATAACAGATTTTGAATGAACCTCTACTATGCAGTCCAGCTAGGTGGTCCACGGGCCATCAGACCTGGGATGTGTGGTACTGATCCTTCCCAGAGGACTGCATGACAGGATCACTACACCGAGACAAAGATCATGGAAGTCAAAAGGAGCCCACACACATTTCTCCTGACAGGAGTGCCCAGGCATCATTTAATCAAATATAAGGACAAATTTTTACCTGCCTTCAAACTAGGTGGGTGCATCTACACATGTGATTTACTGTGGAGTTGACTATTAGTTTTGCAGTAAATCAATCACCATCTACATGTGCACCGGTATTAGGACACAGTAAATTAATTAACTTCACCACAGGATAGTACTGTTGGAGACATTACTATCCAATGGTGGAGTAATAATGTATGCCAGAATCTACATATAGAGGGTGACGGGATGCCTGGGGCACAAGGGTGCTACAGTGCAGGAACTATCTGCTGCCTAGCCCTGCACTTTAGCACTGTCGTACCCCAGCCAGCCCCTCTGCCACCCGCCAGCGCCACCCAGAGCCTGGGGCTGATCCCACGAGACTGCTGCCAGCCCGGGGTGGCTCTGCCCCAGCTCAAACGGCTGTGGTCCCAGGTGCACATGCAGACACTGTGCCCAGGAGCATCTGACTCTAGCGCAAACTGAGCCGGAGTTTATCACATCTCCTTAATGCCACATGTAGATGCATCCACTGCAATGTACATCTTCATGTATTTGTACACACATTCAAGATGGTGTGAGCAACTACCCAAATTGCAAGGGTTTGTGAAAGCAAAGCAGTACAGCAGGAACACTTTCTGGAGAATAAAACAGTACAAATGGCCCTGTACGTTAAGCAATCAAGCTCGCTTTTTCTTACCTGAAAGTCATGGCAAATGAATCAGGCTCATCTCTCTTTCTAATCAAAAATGCTCCATCTCGAGGAATTCGCATCAACATGTCTTCTGCTTCTCCTCGGCTCAGGTTACTGTAGTACCAGCTACAAGAGATGGCGGGGGGGAATGGAAAAGCGATTACAAAGCTTGTCAAAGTGCCATTCACTGAAAGTAACTGGAGATGTTACTAACATGTTACAAGATAAATTATTCATTAGATTTTTCCCATCTTGCCACATATGACAGCAGCTTATTGCAAAATTCTGTAACATATCAGCTTATTTGGGGTAAAGCCATCAGCAAAACATCAGAACACCTTGTCTGCTCAAAGTAATAGAACATAAATCAGCTTGTCTCCCTGGAACAATTGCACAGAAAGCTGCCTTAACTACAGAAAATCAAATGACAGACTGGAGTAGTCATTTTGGCATGGCAGATTTGGAGGAAAAGCCCAAACACCAGTGGAGGGAATATACTTATTTAGGACCAGATTCTGTCTCTTGCAGAAAAACTGTTCCACACAAGCAATGATGGCAAAGTCTCGCCTTAAATGACCATCATCTCATTCGAGTGGAGCTAGGACAATTCTCCACCCGCTAGCATAAAAAGAAGAATATATGTCTACACAGCACAAGACAGTACTGAGCAGAGAAGGGAAGCAGGGAGAGGGAGGTGGTGATCTGCAGCTCACCCTGCTCTTTGGACTTCCCTACAATTGTAAGGAAGTTCCCCTTTTATCATTAGCCTCTTTGGGGACCAGGGTCTTGCTCTGCAAGTCTCAAGATCCTTAACCATCGGTTAAGTTTGTTTCTATAACACCCACAACCAAGTGCAGCACAATGTATCCCATTTTAATTTTTCCATAGGAAATCCATTTTTTTTCCAAGACAACAACCAAAAAACAAAAAAAGTCCAAAACAACCACCCTCCCACTTCCCTTCAGCTCTACATACTCTTTAGTTTCATGGGGGCTGGGATTGGGCACAGCATCAGTCAGACGCAACTCAAACTCTGCACATCGCAGGTTGGCTTCCTTGTAGTGTTGAATAAGATCGTAGATACTATCAAACATGAGGTTGTCGGTCAGGTAATATTTCATGACTCCGCCTTCCAAAGAAGAGCGGATGCGGCAATGCTGGACACGACCTGACCTCCTTAAGGAAAAAGGGATTGAAAAAAAGCAGTTAGTAAGGTTAAGGCTGTTTCCACACCTATTCTGGGCTAACTTATTTTTGAAAATTTGTAAAAGTGGTGGCTAATTTCCTGCTTCCTTAAAGAAGCAAAATCCAAAAGTAGCACCTCATACCACTACAGAATTCGCTCTGAAGGCCCCCTTACTGCTCAATCCATCAGATGTACTGTTACTCATAACGCCGAATTTGAAGAAAGCATGCAAAAATCTTTTACTTCTTCCCCAACGGGGCATTCTCTATTATCAAAATGGTCATTTTTACTAGCAGCAATCGAACTCAAGAGACTACCTGCTCAAGGTGATGATTGCACCCCAGCACACGCGGGGTCAGATTCGGACCCTCAGACTGCACGTTGTAACAAAACCCATAGGCTCCCACTGCTTTGGAGAACTGAAAAGTAAGACCCATCAGCCCACGACAGGCTACTGATCAACAGACTAACCTCACACAAAGCCTAAATCAGGTCTCGCAATGTGAGACTGAAATACAGCAGAATTAATCAAAAGTACAATCTTTCCTCACCTGTACCGATAACACTTCACAAATGCATTTCCCAGTCTCTACTGCTCATCTCAGCTGTCATAACACACACTTAAAGAGCTATTCTTCAGCAATAAGACAGAACAAGCAATACCTCCTGCACGATCAAAGAGCCCGCACCACCACCCAGGACCAACATACCAGAACGAGAGAGTGCAGTCATCAGGGAAAGCTTCACTCTCCCGAACAAGGAAAGTGCCATCCTTGCCCCCCATCTCTGCGCAATATTCCTGAAGCAACCTCTCGGCAGTGGTTCTCCCCTCTTTCATTTTCCCGTGGAACCATTTCTCACGTAAGTGCAGCTCAGTACGTTTCACCTCCTAGATGGGAAAAAGAAAAATGTTCACCATCAACGCACACCAATTTTCTAGCCTCTTTGAACTTTTGTGACCCTCTGGAAGGAAACATCCGTCACGAAGATCAGACATATGATGTGCTGTCCTGGACATGTTGTCGGGGGTTAGGGCAGGGCTGTGCCTAGGAAGAGTCCTCCAAAAAACAAACAAACTCTTCTGAGATATTCTTGTCCTTTTCCCCAGGTTTTCACAGAATGCATAAAGGCAAATCAGATCTTTTCAGGTTACTTTTGGGCAAAATGTCTTCCACCTCCTCAGATTTACCCAAGGACTTATGGTCTACAGGCAGAAATGTAAAGAAAATACGTGTGGAAATAGGAGTTTCTTGTTACTAAACGTTGCCCTGAACTTTTTTTTTTTTAAAGCTACATAGCATAATAACCAAATAACTTACAAAGATAATGCATATCACCAATAAAACCACCTTCTATTTTAGCCATAAGGGCTTTACGCCATCACACCCTGCATTATATAATGAGGTCCTTCTTCAAATAGCGCTGACACTAAATCTCTGGAGTCTCTCTGTTTCCGCCCCAGACAAAGCCCCCGCCTTTTCTTTTTTTTTAAACCAGTCACTGATTTAAACTCTACTCGAAAAGGTCATAGCTATAACATCCAAGAAAGCAGAACCTTCAAATCTTTATGCTCTGGTTCAAAGATAAAGTGTTCTCCTGCTAAGATACAGGATTAGGAGTCAGGACTCGGTGTGTATGTATCCAATAGTACTACGTCTATACATAGAATAATATTTCAGCAGATATTTCTGAAATGGCAGAGCAACTTTCTAGTTACTTTTCAGACTCTCTAAAAAAAAGCATCCATCTAAAATCAGTTTTGAAACATAGAACTCACAGCTGAGTTGGACTACACTTTAACGCATCTGTTATAGCGCTTTACTATCAAAAAAGGCTATTTTATTGTCCTGCATAAATAGGGTGCCATGTACATCCCAGTTTGGCTGAGATAGTCCCAGATTTTGCAGGCCAGTCCAGGCTGACTGGTGAAAATTAAAACAAACATCCCAGCTAGTGGGTGCAGGATGGGGAGACAGAACTGCACCAGCTGTGAAATAGGAAACTGCCCAAAAATAGGTTAGTTTGATTAGTGGAATAAGTGTTAAAAAGTGAAGATAATCGTTAGCACCTGTAAGGTAAAAAACAATGGGTCACTGACTCCTTTAGCTGCCTGAATAGTATAATATCAGAGCTGCACCACACGCACACCCCTCCACACATACACACACTCACACAGCC